TCACTTTCTATTTCAAAATAATCCTTTTGTAATATTCTTACTTTTTTCTTTGTGCAATCAGGACTTATATGACATATTTCTCCACAATTGCAACACTTACATTGTTTTTTATCTTTTTTATAAGGTTTATTTTTCTATATATTATTTTTCCTTAAAGTTTTTGTATTTTTTAAACTTTTTGTTTTTATACTTTCTTTTATTTCTTTTTTCAGAATTACATTCTCATCTTGAAGGTTTTTCTATATTTTCACAACAAATTCTAGTTAATTTTTTTTATTTTTTCAATAATTGTCTTTGTTGACATATATATGCAAGTCTTTCAAACAAGAATTTTATTCTTGATCCTAATGTTCTAGGTATTCCTATATTTTCTTTAATATATTTTTCAAATTCTATTTTAAAATATATTCCCCATGAACCTGCTAATTTATTGTAATACATTTCTTGATATATTTCTTGATTCTCATTACTATAAAATTGAGTATAATAGTAATCCTTGAATTCACAAGTATATTATTTAATTTTACACATATCGCAAATTGTTAAATTAATTAACTTAACTCTTGCATTATCTTTTTCTCGTATTGCTTATTCTTCATAATTTCTTAACCAATTTTCTCCTAAGAATTCATCTGCAATATATTCTACTAATCTTTCTATTCCTAGTTTATCTGACTTTATTATTTTTGTTTGTACATTTCTTTTTATTAATGATTTTGTATTACTGCTAATTCCTTCTCACCAATTTCTAACATTTCCTTCAAAAGATGCAATTAAAAAATCTATTCTCTTTTCAGTATTTTCCCATGTATCATCTTTATTATATAAAAAAAATAATATCATTGAATCTGCCAAAGTTATTAAGGCTTTTTTAGTGTCTATTTTGCAATCCACGTTTAATTTTGTTCCTCCATGGTTAACGGGTTTATCATAATTATTATTTAATCCGAATCTATTACTATATTTATTTCCTTTAGATGATTGTTTTTCTCTTATTTTATCATAAAATTGTCTATATGGTTTATTATAAATCGGAGTATAACTTTCATCTGGATATATTGATTCTTGTTTAGAGGTTCCTATGGGATTAGGTCCTCCTCCAATATTCATCAAGATTTGGTATTCACCATCTATACTTTCTAAGCTTAAATGATTAAAATTATCTATAAGTAGATCTAATTTTTCATTCATTTTCTTTGTCTTGATTTTCTTCAATTTTTTGTTTACCCAACATTTTTTCTCTAGATTCCTCTTCTTCTAATATTTCAGGTAATATATTTTTTCTAAACTCATCATCCATACTTCCTGTTTCTATTATTATATTTTTTCTTTCAATATGTTTTTTCCCTATTCTGGTTATTTCTTTTTCTATAAATTTTTTATCTATTATATTATTCTTTTCTTCATTTTCTTTTAATTTTCTGATTTCAAGTTTCAATATATTTATATTATTTCTTGCTTCTTTTATTTCATTCTTTATCTTTTGTACATCATTTATTAATGTTCTTATTAAATGTTTTAATTCTTCCATATGTTCACTGATTGACATTTTTTTTTATCGATTTTTTGATTGACAATAATAAAATGCTATATACTCAGCATTTTTACAATCTCTTATCATTTTATCATATTTTTATTTTATAACTTCAATATTTGTTAGTTCTTTCAATTTTTCATAATACCTTGCTTTTTCTTTATACCTTTCTTGTTTTAATTTTAATATTTGTTTTTCTTGAGTTTTAGTTATATATCCAGGTATTAATAATTCATCTAAAATTTTATTATTTATTAATCTTATTCTTTTCAACTTTCTTTCTAAAATATGTTTAGTTTCTTCCATAATATTTTTATGATGATTCAAATATTTCTCTATAGTATAATTCATTTTCATATACTTCGATAATTATTTCATATGTACGTCTATCTTTGATAAATTCTACAATTAATTTATGTAATATATGTTCCTTTATTTCTCTAGGTAAATTCTTAACTACATATAATGTTATTATTTTTAATTTATTAGGGATAGGGTTGAAAAATATTTAACATCCTTTTTCTTCAATACATTGATAATAATTATCTATTTTTATGATTTCCATAATAAATTTTTTTTTCAGATTACTATAAAATCTATTTCACTCTGAATTTCTTCTAATATATATATATGCTTCTATTCTTCAAATAATATCTTTTTAATTATTTTTTCTTTTAGTTCTAAATGTAGATTTTTAATTACTCTAAAAATTTCTAATACTTCTTTTATGTCTTTACTATATGTTCCAACTATATTATCTTCTTCTATATAGCTTTCTATATTAGAACTATATTTTACCTGATACTTTAGTCTATTTTTATAAGTTTCAATAATTTCTAAAATCATAAACTTTTGAGTCTTTCTTTATCTTTTCAACGATTAATTTTATTTATTTTCTATATCTTTTAGGTAATTTATTTTCATATATTTTCTCATGATCTCTCTGGCTCTGATACCAACGGATGGGTGCTACTTATGAGCGAACAAAAATCTAATAATAACAAATCTAATATTTTAATATTCTAAAAATTCTTTTATTTTTGGTTTAGTTAATTTATTTGTTATTAAGCGTATATAAAATCTTAAGGTAAGGTTAAAAACTAATTTTTTATATGCTTGTGGTAATCTATTTTTTATTGGTCTTCTCATAAATTTTTAAGTAATTCTTCAAAGTCTAGTAGTGTCTGAGAATTTATAATATCAATATCTGTTATCATATCTATGTCTGTTCTAAAATGTATATCGTATTTTGAGATATTTTTCTTCCTTTTTCCCAATTTATCTATGATATCTTGTATATCTTTTATGATTATTGATCTTACAATTCCTTTAGCAAAATTTTCTAATAAGTTTTCTTTGAAACATTTTAATATTTCTTGTGATGCATATAATTGTTCTTGATATCTTATCTTATCAATTTCTTTTTCAAACTTAATTTCTTTTTTTATTTTTAACAACCTTTTTTATATTATATGGTCCTCTCTTATATTTGAGTTTTTTCATTTTATAATTATTCATTAATAATTCTTTCAAATTTTTAGAAAAATTACTTGTTAATTTTTTAAGGACTTAGTTAGAAGTTTTTTATTATGAAATAGGTTGTTCGTAATATTTGTTTAAAGGTATTTTAGGTAGTTACAAATGTTTGGAAAAGTCAAGGGCCATTTTGGAAAATGGCCTCTTCTAGTTGGGCCATTTCCATGTATTTCCCATGAAATTGTTCTAGGGTTACTGTAAGTGCACTTGACAATATTAATGAGAGAAAGAGAGTGCACATGAAGAATTAAAATCAAATTTACTGATTGTATATATGCAAAGCATGCGGATAGCATTGTAATTTTGACATAATAATTAACATTTATTCAATATTTTTGACAATGAAAATATGAATAATAATAATCAATGATTAGGTATAAGGAATATTCAATTCTTAACTATCATTTGAGGCAAGAATTTAACACCAGAGTGAAAAAATATAAACTAAATTGTAGTGAAACCAAATGTACGGACTAAACAAACTAGGCTTCATTAATTAAAGGATGATTTTCTAACCTCTCCTTCGTTGTCCAAGATGTATACTTTGTGATGCTCAAAGGTGTCATTTCCTCATCAGTATTCGAGCAAGGATTTGAATATAGTACAAAGCAAAGACGAATGAGAAAAAAAATAGTTGAATCTAAAAAGAAAATTCCTAAAAAGCGATATGGATTCATTAAAGAAGTAAAAAGGAAAGTAGAAAAATCAAAAGGATATCTTTTAACGCAAAGAGATATGAAGATGAAAAATAGAGTGCGAGAACTTCCTAATGATTTGGAAAAAGGACATAATCTAACATAGTCCAATCTCTTGTTACAGTATATAAAAAGGTAATTTTACGGCTTCTCAAAATTCAATATGAAAAAGGTAACGAAAAATTAAAAGCATATTAAAATTTTCTTTTGTGGATTCATCACAGTGCTTAAAGCTCGAGAATTCTCATTCAGATTCCTTCGAGAAGAGAGATAGACGATGGAAGAGAGAACAAAAAAAAAAGGAATAAGAAAAGGAGAAAAAATCAACTAATCGTGATGGAAGTAATAAAAATCAGACCAATACTGCTTGCAGTCACTCCTTTCCCCAAAACACTAACCCCTCCACAAGTCACCAAAACATACTTTATTTTCTCTGATAATACTTTGGCCCAAAGAAAGAAAAAGTAATTGGCAAACATGAATATAGAAACTAAAATGATGAAGAATCTTACAGAGTTGTTAATAAGCCTACTATGCTATTCCAAAGGATGCCATTGGCAAAAACGAAAGAAATAGTTAATTAGATTAATCCTATCATGATTGAAAGTCCACATAGTGAAGTCTTCATTCTAAATATTATTATTATTTCCAGAGCAAATTTTTTTGGATTTTTAGAAGCCATTAAGCAGCAGGATCCAACAAAGTGAGAGGTAATAGTAATAAAATTTAAAGGAAGATCCTTGATAGGCATCCCTTCATACTATTATAAAGGATACTCATGTTACAGTACACATGTCAAATAGAAGTTGAAATTTACTTGTATGGTAATCCCAAGAGCCCACTGCCAATGCTAGAAACTTTCAAATCTTACCTAAATAACTATCCTATATATTAATGAAATCTAGCTACATTTATTCTAAGTCTGCTCTATAATTACCATATCCTATAAATGTCAATTTACATAACAAAACAAGGTACATATACCATGACATGTTAACTTAGTACAGAACACGTCCTTTTCTTCCAAAGAAAGCCAATTCAAAAATATTGATCAGACTCAGCATCACAAGTAAAGTCACAAGATATTAAAACATCCAAAATCAAGCATATACTGCCTTACACATTAAAAATCATTACCATGCATAACCATAACTCTTTTCTCTTTTACACAACATTGTAAACAAGAAAAAACTGCATTGACATATAAAGCGGAAGAGTTGAAGTAATTACCTCTACAAAATTTGGATCCAAAGTGGTGCTAGTTTCGGAAGCTTCTCCTTGATTTATCTTTACACTGTTAACATTCGAATTAAACAAAAATTTAAATTTAAATATCAAAATCTAAATGCAAGTTCCAAATAGCCATTTCCATAAAAATCATGCAGTAAACTCGAAACGCTAACTAATTCATCTTTAAAAAGCACGAACCTTCAAAACGCATTTGCAGTTACACAACAAAAGTAGCTCCTTTCACTAACAAAAAAGAAAAAAGAAATTAAATGTAACAAAGAAGAAAAAAAAAGGATAAATGAAAGACAGGTGAGTTGACATGGTAGTAAATGATTGAAGAATAGGATTATGAATTATTGGAAAAACAATATGAAGGTACTGTTATACAACCATAATAGAAGAAATTGTTTCCCTGTCTGTGTTAAAATTGTGTTCGCACGGATTCTTCTACCTTGAATAATTGATGTAAATTCACCAAAAGCATCAGTTAAATTTCTATTAGGAAAAAGCATCATTTTTTATATGCATTATTAGAAAACACCGAATACATCAAGAGAGATCATATCGAGAAAAAAAAGAGAAAGCACAGACAAATTCAAGTAGAGATCAAATGCATGCAGAGAAAGAAAGAGAGACCAGGTACACTAAGATGTGATAGTTGCTGGAATTCTTTGCCCAAAGATCATTGATCTTTTATTTTCCCAATGAAAAATAGGTTCATAAGCAGGAAAAGGAGATTCTCCAAGATACTGTAAGTAATTTACAATAATGTAAAAATATTTAAGTAGTATCACACGTGCAAATGCATGAAGTACGAAAACTATTGCTAAGTGAAGACCTTGGAAAGTTTTGCATTTAATGACTCGCAAAAGTTTTCTTCTAAAAAGTGATGTCTAGATGTACTTGGCATCTCTTCATTCACGAAATCTTCTATTTTAGTTCTTCCAGCATTAGCAAAACTTGTTTCTGAAAGTAATTCAGAAAACCATAATTAGTTATTGCACATGTACCTTGTATTATAAAATTGCAAATATTTTGTTCCCTACTATGTAGGGAAAAGATCATGGGTTTACTGGATGATTTCTGATTCATTCACAAGGTTGCAACGCACAATTATGCAATGGAATTAGATGGGCTGTTGTAGAGTGTATTTGATTCAAAGCTATTTTGTGAGAACAAAGTAAAAACCATGACTTGCTAGGAGGAGAATGAATTCGTATAACATCAGAGCTTATAAACTGGAATGTAAGGAAATTCTGAAAATGATATTATACTTCTAGTAACTGGAACAAAGACTTCATGTTGACCAACCTTTATACTGTTTGTTGATAAACACTTCCAAGGAAGTTAAGTGGAAGAGACAGCTGGAAAAGTAGCCCATTTACCATGACTTACAGGAAAAAAGTTGAAACATCAATATCATTAATAATCTTATGGTGGAAATGTTCCTTTTTTTTTTTTTACTGGATTTGATTGTATTTAAACCAAAAGAATAAGAAGATTAAAGTTTTACCAAGTCACTAACAGTCATGTCGCCATTTACAATTCCATGGGAACACAAGACCATAGCTACACAAAGTGCTATGCTAAATATTAAATTCTAGCCAAAGTGTAAATAGGCAAGGCTTCATTGAGTTTGTAAGGTAGGATCTTCATATCCTGAAATGAATTATATCGTTCTTAATTAATTGGAATCTACTCATTTAAACTTTCAAAGAATAGAGTCGGAGTATAAAGAGAGACATGATAAAAATAAAAATAAAAAAAATTCATCACTACGTCTTAAGCACTCAAAGCAAGACATTGATCACAAAATTATTTTTAAGCTATTGTGAGACCCCCTGAAGCATTGTAAAATGCAATTAGACTAATTATTAGTGCATTTTCAAACCAATCTGTTTGAAGATCAGACCTGCTCAATTGAAGCATTTTGCAACAACAAAAGATTCAACTGCTTCAATCCCCAGTTCACGGGGTGACCATATTATTCTAGTTTTACCATCCAGCCATTGTAGCAAGGCCAAAGAAAAGTAATACTGTCAAAGATTCTGTTAAAATAGAAAAGTGTCTTCCGCTCCTTGTGAGACCTGCACAAATAATATTATTTCTCTATAATCAATTAAAGATAAACAAAAACAAGAATTAACCATACAATCACAACAACACAAGTAGGATTCAATCCATTAATGCATAATGATTCATCCGAGCACCTTGCCCAAACTTTAGCATTCATATAAGTTTCATTAAGCCGCTTCCAGTAATTTGAGTGTTTAAGTAAAGTTTCAAAGATAATATCTTCTAAAAAGAGCACAAAGGAATAGAAAGAAATGTTAAATGCCTACAAAACTACTTTTTCCTCAAAATCACAAATAAAAATGGAAGTACTGCCAACAATGGGAAAAAAATCAACAGGGAAAAAAGTAAATGGTCATGCACTATGGTAAGAGGTAACATAAACTCTTATCTTAGAAATTTTAGCAATTTGCTTTCTTGATTATTTTAGAATTTTATGGTTTGGAAAGAAAGCTTCTTAAGCTTGAGATTCTGAGCACTTTTAGAAAGTGTTTTTTGATTAAGTTTCCCTTATACTTTCAAATGCTATCTTTGATTTCTGTTGCTTTTACTTTCCCAACAAGCAAAATAGAAAATCGTGTTGTAAGAAACTACTTAAATGAGTCAAATGATATTTCGTGTTTGGGTGAGCTTCAAGTTTCAGGAATGTTAGAGCAGTTTAATATTAGCTCAAACAACAAGGTAGGAGTAGGGAAGCCTTTCAACTTATTTTGAAGATAGCTTAAAGATAGGATCTAATGACAATACATCTATATTTGAGATGTAGTTTGCCAGTGTTTCACAGATCAACTGCAAATGAGGCATTTTAATGACAAGAGGAAGAAATAAAATCAGAAAAAAGGGAAAAGTACAAGTACAAGATTACACAGAAATAATCATTTCTTGCTGACCTGCAGATCACTATTACCTTCTTTGTGAATTAGAATTTTACCAATCTAAATACCTATACAACATAATCGCAAGGCATTTTTGATGCTTTCATCATTGCAAAAAAATTGAAACCTCAGCTTAAAACAACGAAAAATATGTTTACATCCACATTAATAACAAGATACTAAATCAATTTGAGCTTCTTAGCCAGTGAATGAGGGAAGAAATAAGGAATTTCAAGTCAATAATCTGGATGTGATTTATGCATGGTATGTGAATCTATGCCAAATGGGAAGATTCCATAGATCGTCAGAAAACTAATTTCTAGAAAACTACCAAATTGTCCAAGATAAACATATCAAATACAATCCTTTCTATGGGAGAGGTAGTCTAATATTATAGAAATTGAAAACAACACAATTTATTGAAGAAATATGGAAAATAGCCTTAGCGAATATAGCAATCTGCCTAACTGGCTTTAAGAAGAGAAAAAATGATAAAATCGTTTTAAACAATCTCTTGAATAATAGTAAGCACATATAAGGAAAAGCTAATCTTAAAATATTATTGTCTATTTAATAAGTAAAATGAACTATGGTCCTTCATATTAGAGAATACACCATAACATTGGCTAAATGAGTAAGGCAATTAATGGTATAGCTAGTATTCGAAACAATGTCCATGGTTTGGTTGCAAGTTTTCTCGTTGGCTTCAACAACAAAGAAGTATGCATCAACTGATTGAACTATTTGAAATAAAATTAAACAATTCAAAAATATTTGGAAGTATATATAAATAAAATGTCATTTTTAAAAAGATGCCTACAGCATAAGTCAATAGCTCGAGAATGAAAATTTAAGCAACACGGTGTATTAATTATTGAACTAAAAATAATTTTTTTTCCTTCAAAAATGTATGCAAGGTATTTAACATGAAACTTTTTATTGGCATTGGAAGCACATCACATTATGGCAGGGTAACGTTTCACAGTTTAATGAATCTTCCACTTACTTGATGGGTTGGCTAAGAGATTATTTATGGTTAAACTCTTCACAACTTATCAATGGATATAATCCTTTTGGTCAAAATTGAAAAATTTTGAAATTGTAGTTTATGCGAATGGTAATACTATTTAATAAATTATAAGGGAGGGATATTTTTGAATCATAACTATTTGTAATTATTTATCGAACATAAGAATATACCTGACGAAAATTTGCGATTCTACGGATGTATGAATGAAAGAATTTCCTTGTAAACAATGTTTTTAGTACATCTGTTGTGTGAATCCTTTGTGTTTGTTGGTTTAAGCAGAACTTTTATATTTGTGCTTCTTTTTGCTCTTGATAACGCTACATAAAGCTGATCATGACAGAAGACAGGTTCTGAAAGATACAAACCAATGAAATCAAGCGTTTGACCTTGTGCTTTATTTATTGTCATTGCAAAATATGGTCTAATTGGAAATTGAGTTCTTTTAAATGGAATTGAACTTCGATAACTCTGAAGGGGTATAAAAGGAATCCTTAGCGAGAATACATATTTTCCAAAATATTCGCCAGCTGTGATTTCAGCAACAATTACATTTTTCTCAAATTTTCGACAAATAAGGTGTGTTCCGTTACATAATCTTTCTGAAGAATTGATATTTCGTAGTAACATTACAGGACAATTAATCTTAAGTTTCAATTCATGCGATGGAATACCATTTGACGTCAAAGTATTCAAAAAATCTTCTTGTAAGCCTTGCTCTGATTTGTCCATGGCTTCATCAAAACTATAATATATGAAAATTTCACTAGGAATTTGATTAAGCAAAATTCTGTTAATATAATCAACACATTCATTTGTAGGTGTAAGAATTACACGATTTGCTATAGTCTGTAAATTATGACCACATGCTTCTATATCTGGGAAAACATTATGTATCAATTTTTTAAAAGATGTGATTTCATCCTCAAATGGCAGGATTATGTCGTCGGGAAGCTTAATGTTCTTACAAGTATGTTCTTGCGCCATTCCATTTCCAATTCTAAGCAAGTAATCACAAAACACGGGATCCAGCTTTGCTCTCATATTCTGAACCAATGGTAGATGCAAATACAAAGGCCATAGGTCTAAAAATACTAAGATAGCTTTCATTATGTCCTCCTGTTTTTCTTTTGGTACCATTGGTAAAACTTGTCGAAAATCACCTCCTAGAACCATCACTTTCCCACCAAAAGGCATATTACAATCGGTAATATCCCTAAGCATTTTGTCTACAGCTTCAACAGTACAACGATTTATCATAGGTGTTTCATCCCAAATAATTAACCTAGACATTTTCAACAAATTTCCCAAAGCCGATTGCTTACTGACAGAATAGCTAACCTCAAATATTGTTTCTAAAGGAATTTTAAACCTCGAATGTGTTGTCTGACCTCCAAGTAATAGAGATGCAGCCACTAGAAGATGCGGTTGCCAAAGCAATTAAATTTGAGACGTTATAGCAGCTAAAAGTGCTTTGTATAAAAAGGTTTTACCTGTCCCACTAAGACCATCGATAAAGAAAGAATCGCTTGATTGAGTTTTTACTTTTTCCATAATCGTATCGTATGCAAATTGTTGTTCTTTATTTAAGCTCATTGCACAACTAAATCCCTTTTCAATATCCAAATTAGTTGTCTCTTCTACAACCATTCTTTCCAACCTCTCATTCTCATCTATATTTACATTGAATGACACAATTTCATAATCATTTATGTTTTTACCTAGCGATTCTAAAATAGAGCTAATGTCCTCCAAAGTGCGTACTTCAGCAACCTCAACAGATGTGTTTTGATGTAAGTAATCCTCAATCATATAAACATTAAATTTATCCCAAAGCAACTTCGGATGATTAGGGTTACAAAGGGTAAAAAGCGTAGCAAAGATGTGCCTCAAAGAAATAGACATCTTATAAATAATAGTTTTGGATAGACATTCTTCACAATAATTGTCTCCACTTAACAAACCATGTAATAGTGTTGTTTCTCGATATGTAGCAACAATAACCCCATTGAAAGTTCGTAAATCGTCAAATGATGTTGGTCCTCTAATATGATTAAAAAGTACGCGAAGGAAATAATGTTCTCTTTCAGATGGGTTTGCTGTGACAATCCGTCCTATAACAATTTGTTTCTTTCTAGGAGTCCAAATCTTCCCACTTGTATTCCAAACAAAATGTGTCGGAATATATCTATACAAAAGTGTTCAAGCAAACTCGTTTGCTTCATTGAGTAAAAAAAAAAAAAAAAATAGTCAACATTATTCTTCTTATATTTTCATTGTTAATAACAATAGTCAAATCATCTTGATCATCATATTTTGCACGCTAATGATCTTCAATATGAAATTGTAAAGAATAAACAATTGGAAAGATTTCTGACAAATTGAAGGAAAAAATTCTCCACATAGCTTCAAGTGGAGAGTTCCATCTCGCAGATTGGTAAACAGAAATTTCATCAATTTCTTTATTTGTTTCATTGCTGTTAATGGAAAAGTTAATACGATCATATCCTATATACATATTTATACAAATATTTAACAATTTTAATAGAAGAGCATACTTCAATGTTAATATGATGATCAAATTTTGCACTTAAATAAAGATTATAAGGTACAACCCACCGATTGTCTAACATATGACCTCTAACTTTAATACAAATACTAGTATCACGTCGTCTATACAATGGATACGAGTTATCACCAAATATACTATTATTACAATAATCCCGAGGGTATTTATTCTTACAACTATTATTTATCTCCATTCATACATTTTTTGGATTAAGATCTCCACAAGGGCCATACATATTGTGTTTTATAATAACAGAATAAAGATGTGGATATTTGTTTCTATCAAGAATTTCGCAAGACACTATTCTATCAACATCTTGAGCACAACAAATTTTACGGCTAGAACTAAAAATCAAAAGAAGATGCGTATGAGGAAGCCGTCTTTTTTGAAATTCAATCATGTATATCTAAGCAACAATAGGGCCGAAAATATTTTTCTTATATAAATCATTTTCTTAACTCTTTTAATTTTGCTTTAAATATACGTGCTATCAAATCTGGTCGATTTTGAACTTCATCATTATGCTTTAGTTCTTGCTTAATTTCCGACCAATTTTGATTACAAGTTATAGTAAAAAATATATCCGATTTTCCATTACGCTTAACAATAGCCATTACATCCATATATCTCCTTAACATATCTCAAGGACCACATGTAAAGGATTGAGGTAAAATGAATTTCCTTCCAATTTTTTATCCCCTTGTTTTCCCATTGTCAACACTATCTACAATACCTTGATAAACTTCAGCACGAATTCGTTTATGATTATTGTGAAAATAGTCTAACCTAGAAGTTTCAATTTTA